ATTCCTGCTTGGCTAGATTTCCGAACCATAAAAGCACCTTCTTTCCCCTAATGAAGACAGACAAAATGTTACAAGAAACAATGAAGTTGGGATTCATTTCAATGAACTTCAGATTTCAACATTGTAATGCCCACATCTGAGTTACTGATCTAAGCTCTCTAAATGGTTAAAGAAGCAAGTCATGACTCACCTGACCTGAAGGGAGTCTAGGTAACTGGTTGAGTTATCCCACTACAGATGCATAAAATTCAGTAAATTGTACCCCAACATGAAGCCAATAGTCTGAAATTTTGTTTTGGTGCACCAATAGTGATTTATTGTGGGGTGATGGAAAGGAGTTGTTAACATCTGCTCCTTCCTCCCATTCCCCCCAAGGTGGGGCGCTTTATTACCCAGGCACTGCCACACACATCCCATCTGGGTAAGACTCTATCCACCACATAATAGACTGATGCTATTTCCTATTCCCAGAGTATTTATGTTTGACTTAATAATTACAGAGATTTTTTTTTCTGTTCTCTATTTTATTTGTATTCGAGCCCTAACTTCCACTATCTACTTTTATTTATCTTAATGGTTTACCATACTGGGATGGAAATGTCTTTTAGAATTAGTTTAACAATTACATCTTTCATGTGCTAGAAATAGCTGGCCTGTGGAGGAAAGTAGACATTTAAAAACTCACATACAGGTCAGGGTCGAAGGAAACTTCATGTCCCCTTAAAATTAATTGTATTCAGAAGATTCAGAAGTATCTAGCACCTCTTGGGAAGAGGACATAGAAGGGTTACTCCTCCATTTGACTGCTTCTCTCCAGTGATCCACCACACTTAGTGTTTTATTCCTGAACCTGTGATATAGCAGTAATGGAAATGATGCTGAGCTCCCAAAGGGATAGTGGCTGTGAATTCGTTAGCCACTAGGTGCCAATTCCACAGGCTTTGAGAGAGCAGCAAGCCACAAGGGGACAAAATAATAACTTCTTCGCACTGTACACTCAAACCCAAAGCATGGCTCAGTTGACTATCCTGGAAAGGTACATGGACCCGTCCTTGTGCAGTCATCTCCTTCAAGGACCTAGTGCCACCTGTCCTTGCTGCTAGTCAGCTGCATCCAAGCAACATTTGGCAAGGATAGCACCGTGTTTGCTTGTCTTAGGGAATTCCTTTTACTCAAACATGTTCTAAAAAACACATAGAGAATTCCTCTAGTCTGAACTCTAGAAAAAGCCACACTGGAAATCTCATAAGCAGAGCTTTGTGGTGATGTGGTGTGTGTGGCTTTGCTCTGAGATGAGGCTATTCTAAAGGTGCACCATTTGTTCATCTGTGTGTAAGAGTCCTAAATCCATCCAGATACATTTGGAGGTCAGTTTATTGTTGCGAAGTTAGTGCAAGAGTTTCAAGCACTGTGTTTATAACACTAGAGCCATTTGAAGAACATCAGCATCCTCTAGCTACACAGTACTGCAAAGACAACAGACAGAAGTATTTCCAAAGTTGTTCATATACAACTGAAAAAGGATACGCAGAACCTTCTGACGAAGCAGTTGTTCAGACTGGGCACGGGAGATATTACCCGCATACCAACTGCAGGGAGAAATATTGACAGAATGATTTCTGAACAAGGCAAAACACGAAGTATATTTTTTTTCAAAACTGGTTGTAAAAGTCAGAGGGTAGAGCTGGGGCTTTTTCCTACAAGAGTGTTTTTAAGCCATGGGATAAAAGAAAAATGACCAGTCCCCATATGCTTTACCCTGACATATCTAGTTCCCTAATAAAGCCCACCCTATAATTCTGACTTTCTACTGTAACTCCCTAGAGAAGAATACTGCAGATCTTTAGGGATTCCAGCCATACTGGAAATGGTTCACTCTGTCTCTTACTGACCATGACATGGTTGTCTCCCTAAAAGCTGTGTGAGCTGCATAATTCTCCTCTAACTACCCTCTTATGATTCATCCCTTTGGTAGGGTACAAGACTGATTGGCTTAAATGCCTTTTATTACCTGTAAATGAATGAATTGCCTGAAAATGAATATATTCTAGCCTTTGGAATCTGTGGGTAGTTATGTTGTGGATGACCTTAAAACGAATGACAAGGCCATGCATCACAGAATCCCAGAATGGTTGAGGTTGGAAGGGACCTCTAGAGATCATCTAGTCCAACCCCCCTGCACACACAGGGACACCTAGAGCACGTGGCACAGGGTGGCATCCAGGTGGGTTTGGAAGATCTCCAGAGAAGGAGACTCCACAGCCTTTCTGGGCAGCCTGTTCCAGGTCTCTGTCACCCTCACAGGAAAGAAATTCTTCCTCATATGCAGGTGGAACTGCCTGTGTTTGAACTTACACTCGTTACCCCCCATCACCAGCCACCACCAAGAAGAGCCTGGCCCCATCCTCCCTACAATCACCCTTGAACATGTTGATCAAACCCCCTCTCAGTCTTCTCTTCTCCAGATTAAACAGGCCCAGCTCAATTAGTCTTTACTCATAAGATGGATGCTCCAGTCCCTTAATCATCTTTGTAAATGTAGATATAATGTACATGTACATGTACGTATATGTATATATACATATATAAATATACATGTGGGTATAATATACATGTACAGTGGTTCTTAGTAATACATATTCTACATACTCACTCATGCTTAGCAATGCTCTGCTCTTCCACTGTTGAATTCTCGCTGGCACTACAGTTTTCCCTATAAGGATGAAATATTATGCTAAAGTTGTGAAAAAAAACAGTAATGAAAATCATTTTTTCTCAGGTTAAAATTCATAGTATATACATATACATGCACATATACATATACATGTATTATTTGAGTTTTTGTTATTTTATCATGACCCAAGATAAGTACTTAAAAAGTTGAGGATATATTTAAATATCTGTTGGTTTGCTTGTATGCTTGTTTTTTTATGACTCGATTAACACTTACAAAGCCTTTCTCCTCCAGTAGCACTATACACTGGGCTGGAAAACAAAATATTCTCTGTGTATGCAGGCAATGAAACCACATATGTCTTTAGTGACTTATGAAGAGATGGCATCTACTTCTTCAAAAATGAGATGGGAAAATTTCCAAAACTGCACAACCCTAAAATTTCTCAAATAAATGTTACTAGCAAGAAAAAAAAATAGATAAAGCATTTTAAAAAAACAGAAAAGGAGGTCTTGCAGAGAAAAAATAATAGTGATTCTAGCTTATGCTGGCTTCTATAGGATACCATAAGTATTTTTTTTAACGAAAACTGAATCTTATTCAGCACTGTTTACTGTGAAAAAAAAATCTCTTGTGTGAAATTTTCATGCAAACACTTAGGCCAATACTTAACGGTTACAAAGTTATGCTATCTAACTAAAGAAGAGGGATATGTCACTTGGACAGACCTAGACTCATTGCACTCTCTGTTAGAATACTCACACACACAGAAATGCCTATGAATGTTAGCAAAGCTGGTATTTTCAGGCTGAAATCACACTGAGTGAAATCTCAGTCCCATTGAAATCTGGGACAAATTCCTATTGATTTAAATGAAACCAGGATTTTACACTGATGCTTCTCACATTAATGTATTAATCACAAAGTTGTATTTAATTCTGCACCTTTCAAGAAACTCTACACAGTGTGCTCAGGAAGTTATTAAACAAGGCATAAAAAGTAAAAATATACAGCAGTATTGCCAAATCTTTCTTAGAAGGTAAGAAGAACATTCGAGCAATGGATGGCTGCATATTGTTTTACCTTGGCTCATCATCACTCAGAGATAACTTTCTCAAGTAAGAGCTTGGTACGAAACCTTCATTCCTGCAAAATAAGCAGTTCACAATTCAGCTGTTGTATGCGATTACATCTTAAATTTGGTCACTTAACACAGGAAATGGGATTATCAGAAGCATGTTATAGAAGCCACTAACAGAAATGTTCACAGTTAACATTTCTGTTTTTCACATACTGTGCAGACGTAATTTGTTTTAGAAAATTGCACTTTAATGAAGTAGTGTTTCCACTCGTCATTGAAATGCCTTTTTCCTCAGTGATTGACTTCATCATATGGAAGACTGGTGCAGCTGTTTGACAATATCATTACATGCCACCTCAGTTGTTATGATGGAGGATGCCAGTGACTAAGGGGTGCCAGCAAAGTGTCCAAGGTCAAATACAGACTTCAGAAATCCAATAGAGAGGTTCAGCACTTTCAGACAGAGTGTCAGATGCAACTGAGAAGCTGTTTTAACTGAATACAGACAGCTATCACTTAAGGATGCTGTCACCATGGCACATTGGCCCTGGAGTATGGGGCCAAGAAGTATCTGTTGCTGTATTGGAGTGAGTTATATACTGTGCCCATCAGAAAAATAAATACAGGGAATAAATTCTGTATTTGAATATGGAGAGAAGCAGAAAAATAAAGCTTCTTCAACACAGGCATCAGGAGAGAACTGAGAGTGTTTGATATCTGAAACAAGATACTGCCTGCTTTTTGCTCCTACTACATCCCAGAAAACAAGATTTTCAAGCAGAAGTTTTTATTGTGATGCATGTGTGATTTGTGTTCTCAGAACCAATACAGCAAAAGTGTCACTTTCTGAAGTCAAAGAAAAGAACTATAAATATTTCCATTTCTCTTGATGTCACTCCTTCATTCATCTAAAAACTCTCTACTTGGGCTCTATGAGAAGAACTGCCTGCCTCATGAGCTTATACATAGCCATATACACGGCAATGCATGCATTTAAGAGCATAGCATCTCAGATGAATAATATATTACTATCTTAAACCTCCTGGGATTGCATGCTGCTTTCTTCACCCAGACCAGTATGCTGATTCTGTGGGTTGTAAGATACAGTTGCCTTGATACAGATAAAGTTAAGATTTCTTTTTTTGTTTATATACTTGCAGATGTAAACTTAATGAATTATGAGCGGATCAAGTAATTTCACTCTGTTTCAAATCACTCTGGACACCTCCTAGCTCAGATTTTTCCCCTTTTCCATTTCTATCAAGTACATGTAATCAAGCTCAGCTAGTATCCTTTATGAAATGGGTAAGGGAGCTTATCTGTTTCAGACAGCTCCTGTTTGTTGCTCTGCCTTTGTCTACAGATTATTCCTAAAGTTGCTTCTTATTTAATGAGTAGAAAAGAAACTCTCTTTTCTGCCTCAGCTGGAGATAATGAAAAATATCTTATTTAAAATTGTTGAAGGGGATTCTTCTACTTGTGGGCCTTTAGTAGAATAATTTATCTCTTCTATCCTGTGCAGGATGGGAGTGCTTTGTATCTGCAAAAAGATACTGGTAAATCTGGTGATTTGCTAAAATGAGAAGTGATTCCTGTTTTCACCTATATCCTGAGCTGCCGCTGCTATTAAAACAGTGACAGTGTGGTCTAAGGATGATCCGTGCATAAAGAGAGGCAACATTTGTGAAGAGAGATTTTGTCTTTTTATTCATCCAACCTAAAAAATAGATAGCTTCTGAATATACAAATCCCTCCTCAGGCATACACCAAAATTAAGGCCATTGGAGACTATTTCAGCTAGCGTATAAGAGACTGTTGTGAATCTTATGTAGCAGACAGGATGGTAATAAAAATGGAACAAAAAAAAAGCACCAGGGCTGCTTGCCGGATTGTCTGTGAAGAAGCAGTATGTAGATGATCAAGATTACGGAATTCATGTAGTGCAAACTTACCCTTCCAAATCCTTTACTCGCCACCAGTCAGAATTTTCTTCTTTCAGTATAAAATATTTATTGCTTTTAACAAGCCGAATAGTTGATTTTGCTGTGGGTTCGTAATTGTACTGGGCCAAAGCTACCTTCAGGTCTGACTTCTCTGGTGATAGCACCTGGGGTAGGCTTCTACGCTTCTGCTTTTTGAAATAAAATGAAAGGGAGATGCAGTGCAAGCTATAGCAAGAAATAACGTGTGACATGCACACAACCATTTGTATCTTTAATGTGCATAATAATATTAGGCAATTAAGCTAGGCTAAGAAGCTGTACATAGCCAAACACTTTTTCCTCCATCGGTTTAGAAACACATTCCTGAAACTGTTGCCCATTTTTTGAGAGAGGTGACACCAGAGCCAAGTCCCATTATTTACCAGCAGAATACACTCTGAGTGGAGACTGACGCTGTTGAAATAGCAAGCTTTCAAAACCAGGACTAGCTAGTAAACAAGACTCATATCAAAATACTATGACCTATCTGGAAGTAATACAATTTAATGGATAGTTAAAACTCATGAACTTTAGACACCACATGACTAAATTGTGTTTTATTATAGCTAAATGTGATGATGTCACGTCATGTGATGTTATATCAAAAGATCCCATCACAGTATTTTAATATAACTCTTCCTGATATTTTCTTTATTAAGGGCAATGTTACCAATAAACAAAACAAGCATTAGCCATCTGTTTCTGATAGTCACTAAACCCAAAAAACTACAGTGATTGTAAATTGTTCCCTTACTTTAGCATGCTTTATTGGCTAAAATGGATGTTTCTCTGCTAAGCCTGTATATATCATGATCATTCCTTGATGTCAAAATTTCCTTCTACCAGGTTAAGCAAGTGCAGTTATGTAACTATGGCATTAATCTCACCTATCTTTGACCCTGGTCTTCAGGTGAAATGTGCCATTCTGCAGAAGCCTATCTCTAATAACTGATTCCTGAGAAAGGGTACATAACTAACTTAGACTACATGCCTAGCACTGAAGCTTGGTGACACCAATCTATACATAGGTAAGTCAGCAGCTAAAAATAAGGCACTGAAGTGCGCTTAGAAACTGAGAAAAGGTTATCACTGGGAAATGAAGTCAAGCTGTTCTGGCCAGATTTAGCAGTTATTATATCCCCATTTATGGAACTTGTTCTTGTTCCCCATGTTCATGTTTTTCAAATTTCCCTTTCAAAATACCTTCTCAGAATTCAGGCAGATAATCAAAACAAATCATAAAGGCCTAGCAGAAGCCAGCTTGTTGAGCAGCAGATTTACATAACTGATAATCTCTCCAAATAGACAAAGCATTTCTTGATGGAAGCCAGGCAAGACAGACCACAATATTCAAAACAAGTCATACTGCTGTGTGTTCACAACATTGTTATTTTGAAATTTCATTAGCAGAAAGAAAATGTCAGAAGAGTCATATCACAATCATAGCCTCTAATCATAGCCTCTTTCAAGGTCTTATTATTAGTTTTAAAGTTCCTTTTTACAGCTCTCTTGATTTTATCTTCTGTCTCTTGACAGCAGGCATGTATCTTAAAGCCCTGACTTTCATGTCAACTGTATACTTTAGAAGGCTAGCTTTTTTTCTTTTCTTTTTTTTTATGTTATTTTGTGATTAAGAGAGAAAAGATAGGAGATGTGTCCAGAATGTATCCTAAAGATGCGAAGAACAGAACTTTTCCATTCAAAAGAAAGTAGGAAAATAGAGTTTTTAAAGTGTCATTTTTTTAAAACCAATGTGGTTTAATTTGGGGCTACAGTAATGATTTGTATATACATCATGACTTAGAACGCTTTGTTGTCTTTTACTGTTTTGTCATTGTCAACTTCTCATTTATGTATATTGATAGTGAAACTAAGGTCTGAGACATCACTATTGCTGTCACATTTCTACAAGAGGGGACAGACAAGAAGATAAATACAGCAGCAAGTCTTCCAGCCTTGCTTTTTTTTCATTATCACTGCCAACTCCTGCTCTTCCTCATCAAGGACATGGGTCCCGGGGACTGAGTCTTTTCATGTAGGCAGATACCAAGAACGTCTCACCTACCAGGGTCTGAGGGATGGGAGGCAGCGGTTTCACAGACTTGGTTGTACAATGTAGACCCACATCTAGAAGAAAGAGAGAAATAAAAAAGAAAATACAAGTTTAATAAGGTTTTCCCCCTCAAAGCTTTCTCACAAATCTACATAGTGGCAGCAACAGCATTATAAACATGGAGCATCTTTACAATCAACTTCATCTGCCTTTTGCACAGCCATCTTTCAGTTCTGTATTTTCCAGCCTTTGAGTAATTCAAGCATTATCTCAATGTCTTTTTAAATCCCACCAACCACCACTTTCATCTATGCCAAAATAAAAGTTAGAGGAACTTCGAGTGATTTTCTCAGTTTTGTTAGCTTACTTGATTGTATACAAAAGAAAATGTAGGAATACTTCATTTTTGATTTTGGCTTTTATGATAGTTTTGTGGACGCTGGCAATCTATGAAGCAGAGCTTAAGATATATAGTTTCCAATTAAACAGGGGTTAAAGGACAGAGGCTCTCTGGAGTCTTCCTTACACAGTCTCCCTGTCCTCCCTGCACCTCTGTTAGCAACCTTGGGAGCTCAGGAACGATTTGGGATAGACACAACACTACATGCTGCATTCCTTATTATCTCAAACAGAAATGAAGCATCCAGTATACCAAAATTATCTTTTTAATTGTTGTCTTGCTTATCATCATAGCTGACAGTGAGACATTTCCTTGTCTTTGCAACAGGCTGGGGTGTCACGGCCTTATTTGCCTATGAAACAAGTGGTTGGAGGCTATGTGAGCCTATTCAAATTACTGTTACAAATCAGCTGACAAACTCTACACATTACTTAGTGTTCTATACTCGTGAAACATTATTAACATAATAATTAACATAAGAATTAATAATTGTCATTAATTTCTTTTTTCGAAAGCAAATGCTATATTATGGAGGTAGTATCAGAGAAATAAAATAGGTTCCTAACTGGTCACACCTACATTTTTGAATATGTCCTTTATTTTGTGCTTCTACATGGTTGATTGTGACTATCAGTGTTTAAGACATAGTTTCAATCATGACTGAAGTCAGCAGATTTATCAATGTTCTACACCTCTAAATAATCAAGCTCTAAAAGACCAAAGCCCAAATTTTCATAAGCTGCTGTTCCCTTTTTCAAATGTGGGCTTTTACTGTTAAGCATGCATGCAGGCGTGAGGAAGAATAAAAATCATATGTGCTGAAGGTTATCTTTTTTTTTTCCTTCAACAATATAAAAGAAAAGCAAGATAAATAAATAAATAAAAAGTTTAAAGTTTAAGAAGAAGCTCTACTTTAGTCTGTCATCTTAGCAGACTCCTGGAGTCTGCATTCTTAGTTACTTTGTGTTCTGCCAGACTGCTGGGGATGTAACTTCTAATCATTTATGGTTCAATTTCCATTCTATGTTTTACTTTTTTTTTTTTTTTCCTTCCCAAATGCTGCCTTGGCAGGAAATGCAGAGATCATTATTTAGAGCTAAAACAGATCTTGGTGCTTCTTAAACAATTGCTTCCCAGGACTATCAGTTGTAAGGAAAAAAATGATTTGCAAATTTTCTTCAGCAATGCTTATTTCCCAGCAGTGCTCAGTTTATAAAGTTAAAAAATATATATCTACCATCCTGAGTCAGCTGTTCCTACTGTAACTTACTTCCTCTCATTTCAAAATTCCAGAATGTATTAGAAAAAATATTTTGAGAAAGAAATGGTGCATTATTTAGAAAAATACCCATTATATATAAATATAAGCATATATGAATAAAATTTGCCTAGCACTATTTTACTTGTGGAAATGGGTTGTTTTGTACTCATTCATTAACATTCTTGTGCTGAGTTTTGATCTATCCAGCTATTTGGAATTTTTATCATTAGAAGTGTCTTACAGTATATAGCTACAATTTATCCAGAAATCTCAAAAATAAGGAGCAAAATGTACCATTGGTTCATTTAGTGGGCAAAACACATTATATATCATTTAGTGCATTATTTCCCCAAATTGTACTATAAGCTACAATGTACAGCTGCTATGATGTTAAGAGAGTTTAACACATATGTCAAAAGTCATTGGTAAATCAACTTTTATATTCACATGACTTAACCATCCACATGGATTTGGCAATGCTGTAGAAAACATCAGTGAGACTAACCAAGCAGAAATAAGAAAGCGTCTTACATTTCTCCCAGATTGTGCATCCAGGGGCTGTTTTACACGTCTGGTTGCAGCAAAGAAACTTTCCATTGGTGTAGAATCCTTTGTGATACTTGTTTAGTAAATCAGAATTGTCTTTAATTTCTGGAAACCACACAGAAAGCAAAGAGAACATGAAAGGCTGCACAACTGGAATGCTCCTTATGATTAACAGAGACTGCTGCACTAAACCTTGGGAGCCAGGAGCACTTATCAACTCATAACTCTAGCCACATTTCCTGGACGCATCTTTTCTTCTATTCTAGGAAGAAACCTAGGTCTGAAATCCATGTCTACCCCAGATACTTGATTTTGTGAGAAAGAAACATGGCGAGTCAGAAATTAGGGACAGTATAGTCAAATACCCAACAGCCTAAGAAGGATACACAAGCTATGACCGAAAATTGTGTAACTTATAAAGATTTCACTTTGGTGGTAATAAATTTTATGAAAAGAAAACATATTCATATACAAAAAAAATAAGCAGGCTGCTTTCTAGGACTATCCAGTGTAAGAAAATGATATTCAATAATAGTATTTGAATAGATACTCAGTACTCATACGGCAAACACAAAGCAATGCTTATCTGGTGAAATATATACTTATTTAAGCATACCAAAAGGGAACTTCACTTCACATAAACATTTATTTCATATTAGAACCACTCCTCTACTCTAGAGAAATGGCTCAGTGGTATCACTGTACTAGTGATATAAGAGATCTGCAAGCCATAAGAGTAGATTTTGGCCTAGAAAAAATCATTGAATGTGTAGAATGAGACTTTGAAAACTGATTGTTTTCAGTTCTGCTGAGGTGAGCCCTGCTAAATACCAGTTTTCTGGACATGTGAGAAAGCAGCCCAAGGACTGGTACACCTCTTGGTTAAAAGCACTTGCTACAGACTTTCTAAAAGTTTTGTAAGTGGTTAGAACGTTTGTGCTATTGCGTACCTCATGAACACTACAAAAATACATCACTTTATCTTATTTTCAGCAATTCATTAAAAAATTTCTTTCTGTAGCACCAAACACTCCTTCGAAGATTTCTTGAATAAATCTCCTTGGTTATTCTAGAAGGATCAATGTGATTAGCTTGCTGAGCTTGCTGAATCCTTCCTGTTCTGCTTTCTGGCCCACATTCTCTGCAGCACTGCTAATTAACAGACCTACCCCCACTTCTGTGCAGGCAAAGGGAGAGTCACATACGGGTAGCTCATACATAGACTTACAGGGGAACTTTGAGGGGTTTTTGTTCACAGCCCACTGCCAAGTCTAGTCAAATAAATGGAAACAACTTCGGCAGGTTTTCTACAGATTTTATATTTTTGTTTCTACAGACTTACAGACTTCAGCCCCCAGTTCTGGGCTCCACGGTACAAGAGGGATGTGGAGCTGCTGGAGAGAGTCCAGCGCAGGGCTACAAGATTGTTCAGGGGCCTGGAACATCTGCCCTATGAGGAGAGGCTGAGGGAGCTGGGCCTGTTCAGCCTGGAGAAGAGAAGGCTGAGAGGGGATCTGATCAGTGTCTATAAGTACCTCAAGGGAGGCAGTGAGGAGGATGGTGCTGGCCTCTTTTCCCTGGTGGCCATCGACAGAACTAGAGGTAATGGCCACAAACTGAAGCACCAAAAGTTCCACATGAACTTAAGGAAAAATTTCTTAACAGTGAGGTTGACAGAGCGCTGGAACAGGCTGCCCAGAGAGGTTGTGGAGTCTCCTTCCTGGAGATCTTCAAAACCTGCTTGGATGCCACCCTGTGCCATGTGCTCTAGGTGACCCTGTGTGTGCAGGGGGGTTGGACTAGATGATCTCTAGAGGTCCCTTCCAACCTTGAGCATTCTATGATTCTATGATTCTATACAGCAACACTAACCAAACTAGAAATGGTTGTGCTCTATTGTTGGCAAAGACTGAGGATAGGATGAGGACTAAAAATGTCCATAAAAATACAAAAATAGGCTTTATTTTGGCCCATTTCTCACTGAATTTTTCAGTCTTTAACATTTCTAGACAATTCTTGAAAGACCATGCATTTCAACTAGATGGTGCTGAAGTAGAAATGAAACTAAAAACAGATGGCAAAATATTGCAGTAAAATGAGGGAGCAGAAGCATTTGCTTATCTCCCCTAATATAATTTGAATTTCTTGGTACACAGAGGAATAATGTTACCTTTATGCAAAGCTGCCAGCCATTTGTTCCGACTCTGTTCACTAGCCGCATAGACATAGAGTAGGCCATCCTTGTACACAATCTAGAAGATATGGGGAAAGACAGCAAGGTGAGAGCATACTGCCCAAAAGCCTGGTACTGTGTAGGAGGGGAAAGGACTAAGGGATGGGAGCCAAAGAAACAGGCTCTGCAGGTCTACGGACATGAAACACATTCTTAGTAAGATTTCTCTGAGATCACTTACTGTACTGCCACTTCCTATAAATAAAAACCTTATACACACTAGATCAACCAAAAGGCTTTATCCTTGAAAACTACAGAAACAAGGAGCAGCATGGTATATTTCTATATACCTGTCTCATATGCACAAAAGACCCTATAGCCCTCATATAAACTTTTCTCTTGCAATTTCTCTTGATTCAAGTTCTAGCCTTTTGCTCTTACAGAACAAGACTATGTGCTCATCCAGGCCAGGACACTCTCTGACATAGTCAATAACAAATGCTGATGCGGAGTATAAGCGCAGAACAGCTGTATAGTGATCAGGGGGAATCCAAATTCATGGCTTTTTTTTTTTTTTCCTATGAATTAGTTCAGCTGCCTTTTAAGTGAAATAATTAGCATCTACACCATCCTGCACAAAACAGTCCTAGAGCTTAGCTACACATGATGAACAACAAGCTCCTTTTGTTTGGTTTGAACCAATCTTTTATGAGCTCCTTTTAATGCCCAACCTAATAATTACTAACATCTGCTTTGCTTTTCTAATCACTGCTTAACACTGAGCTGACTTTTTCAATGAACTCTCTCTTTTAATCCAGTTTCTTATCCTGAGTGGTAACAATAAATTCAGAGACTATTTTATACACACACACACACATGTATTTATCTGTGTGCATTTTATATATATATATATATGTTATGTATGTATGTATGTGTCTGTATTAATGAAGGGTAGGACTCTCCTCATGGGCACTGCTTTTCAGTTATCTGCACTGGATTTCAAATGCCATTTTATTACTTCTGTTTGTTTCTCTGAAGAGGACTCATTATTAAATGCGTATTCCCTCTTAGCTAAATGGATAGAGCTTTGTGAGCATTTCTTTTTAGGTCATGTTTCCTGTTAGTCATTCTCCAGGCTCTCCTCTGACCTCTCCTCAGTTTACAACATCTTTCTTGAATTATAGTCACCAGAACTAGACACAATATCCTCCTGATGCTCACAGTAGTGTCAAAACAAAGGCAACATAGCCTTTCTGATTTCGCTCAATACGTGTCTGCTTCCATGTCCAAGGATACCATTAGCTCTTTTGGCTTCAGCATCCCGCTGGGAATTCATGTTCCACTATCATGATCCTGAAGTCCGGTTTAGAGGCACTATTTCCCAGAATAGACTCCTCTACCCCGTAACAATAGTACACATTTTTTTTTCCCCCAGTTAAGCAAATTATGTGCTCCTGAGAGGAATATGCTAATTTAATATAAACATGCCATTTAATGCCACAAAACTGGAGGAGGGAGAAGGCAAAGGAAGACGGGAATGACACCTAGGATTAGGGAGGCAGTGGAATACTAAGCCTCTCTTGAGGCTGCTCTCAAGCATGGCAGTTATTGCAAGGTTGTGAATTAAGGCATTCTTCAGCAACACTCAGCATTAACAGTATCAACATCCAAGACGGTAATGATCTATGCAATCTGTAGAGACTTTACAATGACCGGATTATTTCACAAGAAACCTGCATGTAATGGATTTCATGGCTAACCTGAAATGGATACTGTCTTGCAGGAGGTGCCGATTCCTCAAGATTCACTGTTTCAACACATCGGATTTTCTTAATATCAATTGAGCCCTTTTTGCTTCCTCTTTTCTAAGGGAAAAAAAAAACACAGACAAGATTAATTTTGAATATAAAGTATTTCAGTATTTTGTTGCTCTGTGCAATTTGGTGTCTCAACCTAGGTAAAGTTGAGTTTCAGACTTGCTAAAATTAATGAAAAACATATTACAAAACCTCCTTAGTGCCTCAAATGCATCCAGTGTACAGACCAAGTACCTTTTTAAGTTAGTCACAAGAATCACAGGACACAGCTCTACATCTGAGAAAGACCTGCTGCTACTGCAGTATTACAAAGCAGAAGGAGTCTAGTAGCAAAAGGAGAAAGGAGAATCAAGAGGAAAGCACCTTAAGTGCAAAATAAGAGCCTTGTTTTTTATTCATGATTTTGTTAAGGTAATGGAGCTTATTCTTACTAAGCTTCCATGTAATTTCCTAAAGAAACTCATAGGAGGAGTTCAAATGTTTTAACAGGAGCAAAAACTTTATAGCAAATTGCCTGGAACATGTATTTGTATGACCATAGATCTTTTGAATGAAAAACTATTCTTCTGTGATACACAGTCATTTTCTAGGAAACCAAAATAGTTTAACCATCTGCTTTGTGCAGTCAAGGAATAAAAATATGAACTAATTATGCCTTTCTTGAATAACTGCTTAAGACAGTTATTTTCACCAGTTCAGGGGAGGCATGAACAGGGGAGACATCCCTATTTGAGCCCATGCTTAACCATATGCCTAATTTTTATTACCTGCTTAAGTTCTGTTGCCTTTGGAAGGACACAAACAGATGCTCAACAGTAAGTGTAATGATAAAGCTGGGCTGCATACAAACACTCTTAAGGCTGACTGCCTTCCTGAACTGAAACTAGGATTTGGTACCCTATAATTTTTTAATTCTACTTGAAACAAAATACATCTATTGTTCTAATATGTAGTATCTAATCAAGTCTCACAGAAGAGAAGCAGAAGAATAACAAGACTTTGGAAAATCTTCTAATAGTGTGCTTAAGAAAATGACTTCTTACCTCTTTGTCATATTCATAATAAGAAAGGTTTGCTGTTGTCAGAACAAACAAACGTTCTTTGTAATTTGTTGGTGAAATTTTTTTCTTCTGTTGTGACTTCTTTAAAAGAAGCTCTTCTAGAATTGTTTTTTTGTCCATTGTATTTCCCTAAAAGAATGTCACAGTTACTTTATTGCTATTAATAAAAATAACAAAAGCAATTACAGCAACTCTAATACTATATATATATTGAGTTGTTGAACTCCATATATACTGTAAATTCTTCCAGTAATATATGGCACAAAGCATATGTTTAATATTGCTTAAACAAATAAGGTTTATTACCGTATTCGCTCAGTAAAACCAGTCATAATATCAGAAAATTAAGTTAAAATATGCCGTAATTCTAAATAAGGCATCTCTATTTTTTTATTTACTGAGTATTTCTCCTTTAAAGTCATGCACTCTATGCATGTGCTTTTACCATGTACTCTTTCTGGCAAAGAGCACGGTCTACTTTAAGCATAAATATATTACATCTGGAGCATAATATGGAAGTCATTATAGCAGGAAAGACAACAAGAAAAGAACGAAAAGAAAGCCCTTCTATTTGCAGACCACAGAAGCATAACTAGTACTGATGAGTGGGTTTTCTGAACCGGAAATTTCCCATTTCTTTCTTTCAGCTGAAACAAATGCACAGTTATGGAAGGATGACATGTAAAAATATCAAAAAGTAAAAATGTTCTTGCACCAGTACATGCTCATACATATATTTTTTTCTCAGTCTTGATAATCATACAGTAGCAAGTGCTAAGAAGGATTAGGCCCTCTATATTTATGCAAGTTTAGTATGGTTTCTGGTTATCTTACCCAAATAGAAAGAAAGTATGTCCTTTGCCCTGTGTGCTCTGTACCTCCCAAGGAATGTGTTCTGTTAAGCTGCACACTTCATTATGTCCCTTTTCACTGTAGAGCCCTAGCAGAAAGAAAGTATTTGCATGACACTCATCCCCTTTTCATATTCCCACTGAGTTTGATCTGTAGCCAGAAAGGAACAAATATCTAGTGGGAAGTCTGAGATGGGTAGGTGGACGTGACTAGGCTTAATTCTGTCATGGATATCTGGGTAGGAGAAGCCTGCAAACACCTTCTACCAAGTCCCTTTTGGACAAGTCAGTGCATGTTAGTGCTACTAGTCTGTCAGTTTATAGGTATTCTTCTCAACACATGTAATATCTGAAGGATGTGTGAGCATAGGGCAGATGAAGGAGGAATTGGGGTTGAAATCTTGCAATTGGAATGGCTGTTCTGACATAGGGGAAAGGAACATTCATTTCTCTTTAGGAGCATTTTCAGACATGCCTTTTCAGGATAGGGCTTGTCTTGGGCCCATGTAGCTTTGAGAAGATGTCTTTGCAATTAAAATAATAGGTTTGATAGAAAACCTAAAAATACCGTCATTCTCACAATGATGCAGTAAGCTTTGCAGTAAGCTTTTCAATCTGGCAAGCATCTGGCTTTGTGTTTTACACTGTACCTTGTTACATCTATTTGTATGTACTTTAAATATAAATTTTAAATAAATTGTAAACTCTTAAAGATAAACTCTTAAAGATTTAATATATATATTAAATAAAAACGGTATTTATAATTCAAAAAATATTTTCTTATTAAGGGAAAAACATGTTCCCTTCCTATAGAAACTAGCTGAAGATAGCATTCTGTTAAATTTTATAACTTAATAGTTCTGTATATGTCCCTGCATATTAGGTGACCTAATGATCTAACAGCATGTCTTCTATCTTGTTATGTGTGGACATGTATCAAGCACGACCTACTCCTAAGGATTCAATAAAGAGTAAAAAGGTATAGTCTAGGAAAAACATATTAAAAACTGAAAAAAAAAGACTATAAAGTGATTGCATCCCTTGACTCTTCTAAGCCAGAAGACTGTGTATTCACTCTTTAATGAAACAGCTGCTTACACTGCGGCATAGATAAGCCATTTCATTACCAGAGTGCTCTGGCTCAATTTCAAAAAAATGTTTTCCAGATTTTCATTTCTCATTACAACTTGAGATAGAAAACAATTTCCAGATATAAAAATACATCTTGACAGCTGAACTATTTCCTGTACAGCTTGATCAGACAATGCTCTTCTATTCTTCCTTGCGGACTTGTGGAAGAGTAATTACAAAAGCTGAAGTTATGCCAAAAGAAATGTTCTTTTTTTTTTTTCCAGTGAGCTTATAGTTGCAATAAAACACACTTGTGCTGCAGGAGGGCTTCAACTATCTTTAATTTTTATGTATAATACCAGCATCAAGTGACTCACTTGGCAAACCTTAATAATTTTGGTATTTTGATGAAAATAAAATTTATATTTCTCCCAGGTACAGTTTGATGAATCCCCAGCTTCCCTGAAAAGAAGGAAAATGAAATTTTGAAGAAGGTGTTAAGTACTGAAAATAGCTGTTTCATTTTTTCTTATCACTGGTGGGTGAGATCATCAGGTAACCCCCCTCAGCACACACTGAATGCGATATTAGTATTTGACTGTTATCAGATACAAAAGGTAACATGGAAAACCACACAATGTAGGCATCCTAATGTTTCTCATCTGCATATATAGCTTCAGTATATCCCATTACAAAATACCTATTATTGTGTTCCTCAGTCTTGCCAGGCTGCTGACGCCTTGTATAAAAGATAGAAAACTGCTTCCTTTCATTTAACTCACAAGAAAGAATCCATGTGCCTGAAAGTCCATGCTTGCAGACCAACAGGAGTGGTGTGCTGTGGTGAGCAGATACTTTTGGGTTTGACAGGAAATTCTTGCCCTGGAAGTATAGGTGCCAAGGCGGAGTGAAATCTGTCTTAGCTTTAGCTTTTAAGGGCATTTTGAAGCTCTCAGTCAAGATCACAGCTGTGTGATCCATGACAGTCCTCACCTCTGGGATGAAGCTATTATAGATCAATAGCTCCAAGTATCTTCCTCTTTTCTCGTCAGTCTTTGGTCTAGTATGATCTCCTGCATGCAGTGGCACTTGCAATATTCAAGCTCTTCCTTGGCCTCTGTTTTGCCTGACGTGCAGTTCCTGAGGGGTGTGTGCACATGAGTGTACAGGAACCTACAGGGAAGGAGAGGCTGCATCTTCTATGAAAAAAAATGGCCCCAGTATTTGGCAGGGAAGTTGGCAGAAACCACCTTCCCAGAGAGCGCCCTTCATCCACTGGCCTCCCTCTTACCTGGGAATGGGGAGACACAGGGCACACCTCCCTTTGGTCCTCCTATACGTATATGGAAACATCTGGCCTGACAGACCTCCTCTCTGTGTGGTGTGATACAAAACCATCATGTCAGCAGCTACTCTGGGTAGTTTGCAATTGAGTGTTGCCTTATCTCAAGTCATCTCTCCCCTGCTCCAGTAATCTCCCTCTAAATGCAGTATAGTCTACCCACCTCTGATAGGCACTGCCTTTTCCACCTCCCTGACCGCCCTTTTTCTTTGAGCAGAATGTTTTTTGCTGATTCAATGCTTACCTGCATGAACCTGCACAAATACACCCAGTCATGCTGAAGGGATGGTGCTTTGGTGCACCAAGTCATCTGTGCGAGTACAAATTTCTGCCTACCTTTGGAACTGCAAGGTAAGCTGCCCTTCCTCTTTGTGGGGAAAAAGTTCATACCCTTTGACTGTGAAATGCAATTTCTCTCTGAAAGCTACAGAAAAACAAAACAGTTTGGAATTAGCTATAGGCATTCATTCTGTATGATTTGAAGAGACATGAGGGTTCTGGAGCACGCTGATTAATTTTCCTTGTTTGAAACACATTTGCGGTTCCTAACAGCTCTGCTCGTTCATGGGGACTGTTGCATCTTCTGTGCTTTCTGTAACACAGTGACCAAATGTAAAAGGGTTGTCTGTTCCCTCAGCAGGTTTTTAAAGTCCTAGAAACCGCATCCTCTTTCAGGAGGAAGTCCATTTGGGGACAAATTATCCAAACCGTACTCAGCAGGAGCAGGTAGAAGGAGCTGGGACGTCCTGGAGGCTGGAAACTTGCTCTCTAGCATTAACTGAGCTTGCTGCTTCCTTCTCTGGAAAAGTGGTTTGGATGTGGTGGTCACTGATTAGCGTTTCCTAAAGATATGTTTTAATTCAGCACTAGAGAATTCTGCGCAGTCACTGATGTTTCCTAAAGATATGTTTTAATTCAGCATGCAGACTAGAGAATTCTGCGCAGTCACTGATACTGTTCTTTCCTTCTTGGTACCCTGTATCTTCAGAAGGGAAGAGGAGCAGCTGGAAAACTGAAGAGCAGCCCTTGTGATGGGACAAGCTTTGAGAGGAGCCTGGCTAAGCACTGTGGGCTGGGGAAGCACCCCAGCCTTATGCTTTACGTCCTTAACAACCTCACCCAGCCTCCAGTGTAACCTTCTCAATTCCCTTGTGCAGTTGGGTCTGGTGTCTGTAAGGAGGATAATCAAGCAGAAGAAAGAGAAATGATGGGAAATACTGGTAAATCTGCTCCTGGAAAATGCAGCATTCTTGCTTTTTGAAGATACAAAAGTATTTCCCTGCTCTGCAGCCTGCCTTGACATGCATTGTTTATTTTCCTTATTTTTCTTCTTTTCGGGATTTGAATCAAGATGGTGCCTTGCACATGTTCCTGCTGTGGTGACTGGGTGCCTGCCACCCTTTGTCCCCACTGTGAGACTGCAGAAGCTGCACTCACTGTAAGTTCAAGCCAGAGGAGTGGAAGGAGAGGATGCTTGCCTGGGCACAAGGTCCTGGGGCAAACCCACCATCAGGGCACAAAATAGCCACAGCATCCATTCCTGTGCTTAGCCTATTGCTGAGAGCGGGGAAAGCTGTTAGTATAAGGGGAGGAATCAGAGTTTCTCTTCTGTTAAAAAGAGAAGGGGAAAAAGAGCTTTTTTTTTTTTTTTGTAATTTGTAGCAGGCAAAACAGGGGCATAGGAACTGGGCAGCCTATGTTGGGGTGGTACAAGAAGGGTCCTGGAAAGCCCGGAGTGTGCGCAGGGGCTGTGATAGCGAAGGGACCTGCACATCCATGGCACAGGTGGGAAGGCAGAGACCTGGCAGTTCTGGGGGAGGCAGCCCTGGCACTGGTGCAACAGCGTGAAGGTCTTT